GTAAGAAAAGATGCTTAATATGATTTCAATCTTCTTAAATTTCTTGAGGCTTGTTTTGTTTCTAAACATATGGTTTATCTTTGAGAATGTTTCATGTGCATTTGAGATGAATGTGTATTCTGCTGCTTTTGGATAGAATATTCTATATATATCTATTAAGAGCATCTGGTCTAGTATTTCATTTAAAGCCACTGTTTCCTTATTGACTTTCTGCCTAGATGATCTATCCATTGATGTAAGTGGTGGTAAAGTCCTCTACTATTATTGTGTTGCTCTCAATTTCTCCCTTTATGTCTGTTAATGGTTGCCTTATATAGTTGGGCGCTCCTATGTTAGGTGCATATACATTAATAAGTGTTATGTCTTCTTGGTGGAATGTTCCTTTTATCATTATATAATGTCCATCTTTGTCTCTTGCTGTCTTTTTTGGCTTGAAGTGTATTTTGCCTGATGTAAGTATAGCTACACCCACTTTCTTTTGGTTGCTGTTTGCTTGGAGTATTATCTTTCATGCTTCACTCTGAACCTATGTTTGTCTCTACAGCTGAGATGGGTCTCCTGGAGGCAGCATATTGTTGGATATTGTTTTTTAAACCTCACAGCCACTCTGTCTTTTGATTGGTGAATTCAATCCATTTACATTTAGAGTGATTATTGATATATGATGGCATAATAATGCCATTTTATCTTTTGTTTACTTGTTGTTTTATATTTCCATTGTTTCTTTTTCCTTGTATTTCTGTCTGCCATTTCAGTTTGGTGGTTTTCTGTGATGTTTTTCTCACTTTCCTCTTTATGATTTGTGACTCTGCTCTGATTTGTTCTTTTGTGGTTATCATGACGTTTGTATAAGAGATCTCATAGATGAGATTGTCCTTTTTCTGCTGATAGCATCTTATCTCCATTAGTCTATGCAGGTTCCATCCTTTTTCTCTTTCCCTTCTATGTTTTTGTTGTCACAAATCATCCTTTTTTGTATTATGAGTTTATTACTAAATTGAAGTGATTATAGTTATTACTGATAGTTTCTTTCCCTCTAGCCTTTGTGTTAAAATTAAGTGCTTACTAACCTATTCTGATATAGAGTTGCAATTTTCTGATTCTGTCTGTCTATTTATCACCTTGCTCAAAGCTTTGTAAACCTTTCTTTTTTGTTTCAGGAAGAAAGTCTCCTTTCAACATTTCTTGTAGGGCAGGTCTAGTGGTGATGAACTCCCTCAGCTTTTGTTTGTCTGGGGAAGCTTTTATTTCTTCTTTGTATCTGAAGGATAACTTTGCTGGATACAGTATTCTTGGCTGATAGTTTTTTCTTTCAATATTCTGAATATTCTACTCTCTCCCAGCCTGTGAGTTTCTGCTGAGAAATCCACTGATAGCCTGATGAGGGTTCCTTTGGAAGTTATTTTCTTCTCTCTAGCTGCCCTTCATATTCTTTCTTTTTCATTGTCTTTTGACACTTTTTATATAATATGCCTTGGAGAAAGTCTTTTGGCATTAAGGAAATTAGGAGTTCTATTAGCTTCCTGTATTTATATTCAGTTCCTGGGAAGTTCTCAGCTAATATTTCTTTGAATAAGCTCTCTGCTCCCTTTTCTGTCTCTTCTACTTCTGAGATACCTATTATCCTTTTGTTGCTTTTTCTAATTGTTGGATATTTCTCATAGAATTTTTTCATTTTTTAAAAATCTTAATTCTCTCTCCTTTTCCACCTGAATCCTTTCTAGATTTCTATCTTCAAGCTCACTAATTCTTTCTTCCATATGGTCTGCTGTATAGTCAATGATTTCTACTTTACTTTTCATCTCATTAATTGTGTTCTTCATCTCCAGAATTTCTGTCTTTTTCCCCCCAGAGTTTCAATTTCTTTGATGAAGTATTCCTTCTGCTTATTCATTTTATTCCTGAGCACATTGAACTGTCTTTCTGAGTTTTCTTGTAACTTGTTGAGTTTCTTCATGACAGCTATTTTGAATTCTCTGTCAGTTAGATTGTAATCTTCTGTGATTTCAAATTTGTTGCTGGAGAGTCATCATTTTCTTTCTGTTCTGCCATATTACTGTAGTGCTTCATGATACTTGATGAGTTGATCCTCTGCTGGTATATTTGCGGTAGTAAACACTTTTCTTATTTGGGTAAGGCTTTGGTCACTTTGGTTCCAAGCTTCCTCTGATTGTATTTGAGAGCCTGCACTTTCCACCCTTCACTGCCTCTGCTAGAGGTGTCATCAATGCCCTCCTAGTGCTGCTTGTGCCTCTGAGGTTGCTGATGCCTTCCTGTTTATAATGTCACTGCAGTCTCAGGTGTCGCAACTGGTGTCACCAAGCTGTGAGCACTTTTGCTGCTTCTGGGATCACCTGGGTCTCATGTTCCCCCACAGGCTTTCTGCAGGATCTCCAGAGGCTCAGGTGCTGCTGCCCCATGAACCACCTGTGCTGCTGCTCCTAGATTATCTGGGGTTGCTGGCAGCACCACTGCCAGGAGCACTAGGTTCATGGGTGTTGCTGTCACTGCCAGGGTACAGGGTCTTGTATGCAGCCCCTGCTGCTGGCAGAGCCAGTGTCAGGGTTGCTGCCACTAGGGCTGGGTCATGGGTTCTGCTGTGGTTCCTGAAGCCTCAGGTCACAGGTGCCACCTGCCATTGCTAGGGGAGAGGCAGGGGCTAAGCTGTGAGTGTTGTTGCTGGTCCTACAGTTTCTAGTGGCTGGCACACACTGGTGTGCTTTGAAACCTCAGGTCAGGGCACGCTGCCCCTGCTGGGAAAATATGTGTTTTAGATGCCATAGTCATGCTAGAAAGACCAATACCACTGCCAGGAGAGGGGGAAGTGATGGGTCACCAGCTCTGCTCTGTATCTTGAAACCTCAGGACATGTGCGCCACCTGCCACCAGTGTGGGGTGCAGGTGCTAAGCTGTGAGTGAGTGTCATTGCTGCTCATGCTGCCTCTGGTATGCTTTGCTCTGCTCATGCACCAGTATGCTTTGAAACCTCAGGACAGGGTGCCACCACCACTGCCAGGGAAATACATGTTTTAGATGCTGTCCCCACTACTGGAAAGACCAGCACCACTTCCAGGGGAGGGGGCTGGGTCACTGGCTCTGCTCTGTGTCCCAAAGCCTCAGGATGTGTGTGCTACCTGCCACGACTTGGAGGGGGCAAGGGCTAAGCCATGAGTGGTGTGTCTGCCCCTGCAGTCTCTGGTTGCCAGTGAACTCACCAGTGTGAAGACCCATGGTTTGAATTACTGCCATGGGGCAGGGGAAGGGGGCTGCTTCAGTGGTTCCGCTGCCTCCCGGAGGTCCAGTCCACCACCTTCAGATGTATAGATGCATGAGTCTCTCAGGCGTTCGGGTGTGCTGTTCAGGGAGTCCTTTTTCGGTCAGTGGGTATCCTACTGGTTATAAGTTAGAGAGGAGTGACAAAGGGGACAACTCATTCCACCATGATGCTAACATCACCTCTATATTTTCCAATTCTTTGTTCGAGTTCTCACTGTGTTCATCTATTCTTCTCCCAAGATCAGTGAACCTCTCTATGACTTTTAGTTTGTCAGATAGATTGTTTATCTCTGTTTTGTTTAGTTCTTTTTATGAGGATTTATCCTATTCCCTTATTTGGAACATATTCCTTTTTCTCCTCATTTTGCCTACTTCTCTGCTTATTTCTATGTATTAGGTAAATAAGGTACATCTCCTGATCTTGGAAATGTGGCCTTACGTAAGAGATGCCTTATGGGGCCCAGAATGTTCTCCTCTCTCATCACTCATGCCAAATGCTCCAGGAGTGTCCCCTGTGTGGGCTGCATGTGCCCTTCTGCTGTGGCAGTGTTGCTATTGCTGTGGGTGCATGGGTAGGCCAGTCTAGTCCTTGTGCTGGCTGGTTGTAAGACTAGGCCACATGTGGCCGCTGCAGTTGCTTTAGTGAGTGGGGTAAGCCCCAGCACTGCTGGCTGCAAGGTCTAATAGCACACAACTACTGCTGTTTTGCTCTTAAGTGAGTCAGGCCCCCAGTGTGGCTGGTTGCTAGGCTTGAGGGCTCACAATTGCTTCAGGTCTCTGCTGAGGCTCCCCGCAGCATGCAGCTGTTGTCAGCTCTCTTTTGGGCAGGGCAGGCCTCTTGCCAGATCTAGCTATGCTGTCCTGTGGTACACAGCTACCTTGGGAGTGCAGATGGATGGAGCCAGCCCCCAGGCATGGCAGTGGACAATTGTTTCAGGCATTGGAAGGTGGGACAGATCCCCTGTATGGCTGTTTGCAATCGCCAGCGGCACAAGTCTGCTGTGGACCAACATGACCCACCGACGTGGGCCCACAAGTTTGCTGTAGGCTTGCTGGTGGGCGGGGCCAGTCCTTGGAGTGGGATCCCTGCTGCCTGACTGCACTCCATTACCTCAGGTGTTCTAGTGTTTGGGGCAGACCCCTGTGCTAACAGGCTAGAGGAAGGAATCCAATGGCACCTGCCAGCATCTGTGTCAACACAACTGAACTAGGTCAAAATAATGGCTGCCACCAGTGTCTTGGTCCCTGGGGGGATGGGCCCAGCCACCTCCTGCCTCTCTGAGATGCACTCTGAGCTTAGCAAGTGAGTTCTTTTACCAATAGACTATGCACTTTTCTATCTGGTGTTTTTTGCTGGTTTATAGGTCAGGTGAGTCTGTGTGTGGGCCCTTTAAGAGCAGGTTTTTCTTTCTCTGAAGTTCTATAGTTTTCCTGGGCATATTCCCCATTAGTTCTCAAAGCCAGCAAAGCCAGGTATTATGGGATCTTGTGTCTCTTGTGCTGGATCTAAGGGCTGGGTGCCTAATGTGAACTCAGCTCCCCTACTCCTGCAGAAAATCTCCATACCTTTGACATCCTTCTGGCTGTGAAGTGCCATGGCTAGGGTGTGGTTTTTTCCTCAGCAGCGCTGTTTTTCTCCCTCTTCCACTCCTGTCAGTGTTGTCCCTTTTGTGGAGGTTCTTTTTATCCAGTTTCCAGATCTCTCTCAGAATAAATTGTTCCCTAGGTAGTTGTAGATTTGCTGCATCCATGGGAGGAGGTGAGTTCAGGATTCTCCTACACAGCCATCTTCCAAACTCCTCCCCGCCCTTTTTTAGATTCCACAAATAAGTGAGATCATACACTATTTGTCTTTCTCTGCCTTATTTCACTTAGCATAATGCCTTCAAGGTCCATCCATGTTGTCTCAAATGGCAAGGTTGCATTCTTTTTTATGGCCAAATAATATTCTATTATATATAAATACCACATGTTCTTTATCCATTCATCCTTTGATGGACACTTGAGAAAGTAATTCTTAACCATGAAATAGTGACTAAAAAGATGTGACCTTATTTTAAGGATGTGATGAGGGAGGATTATAAAGATTTATCTGCTAGGGCATTATTTAAAGTTTTTGAAGTTGGAAACAATCTGAAAGATTAGTTAAATATATAATGAAATACTATGCAACTGCAATAGAGAGTGTTAAAGAAGAAAACATGGTGGTATGAAAAATGTGTAAGAAAATAGTAGGTCAAAAACCAGTATATATAATGTGTCAATCATGTGGGAAAATGTGCATGTATGTACATATACTGGAAAGATATATACCAAAATATTAACAACAGTTATCCTCAATGGTAGAAATTTGTGCTTTTATGTATTTTGCAAAGTTTCTACAATGAACATTATTATTCCTTCCTATTTTCATATTATTTCAAATATCATATTTGTATGATAGTAACAGTGTATGATCCAAGGAAAGGGAAAAGAGGAAGAGAAGGAGAAAGAGGAAGTAAATGTTAGAATTTATTACTAATGAAACTAATTTGATTTCTCCTTCAGCTCCTAAAGAGAAGACCAGCTTTCACAAAAGTAACTCCCGTTTTCTCAAGCTACTTCTTGTCTCATTGCTGATATTTCTGCTGCTATTGGGAATCTCATTTTCTATCGCTTTTGCCAGTAAGTATCCGACTGAATCTATAAGGAATGTCTGCCTTCTATGAAGAGATGGCATCCATTAGATACTGACATTTAACCGTGGGTTTATCTAGAAATCTGGAAAAGAAGTCCTCTCTGTGGGGAGACATAATTAGTGCGAATCCATTGAAAATTCTGTTTTATTTGAATTTAGTTACTCTTCTATAAAAATAATGGAATCCATTCTCTTTTGAGAAATTGAGGAACGTATGTGTGTGCATGTCTTTGTGTTGTAGAGTGAAATCTATAGGGCACCATTTCTACACTTGATAGTTGTGTAAGTGAGGACAAATCTATATTTCCTTAATAGTGTTTATAAGGCCATGCCTTTTTGAGTGCACAGGAACATATTTTGGGATTAGCAGGTGGACAAGGAGATGGGAAGAAATATTCCAGGAACAGTTTCCCATTGAAATTTCACCTTAATTATTTCTGTTGTGCCCAAGCCTGTGTGAGATCTGAAAGCCAATTTGGCAAATACGTGGATTTCTGCATATCTTTGGCTTTAAGAATTTCTCAAATTTTAAAAAGGCATAAAAATGAGTATATATTTGGGTAGATATTTTATTCATCCATTTGGTCATTTAATAAGCAATAATGGCCATCTACTATATGTCACGCATTGTGCCAGACAGAGTCTAGACAGAACCATAGCCCTTGGTCTCAAGAAGTTCAGAGAATGGTAGTAACTGTTCAAATGAGCCAGTGGTTATAATATTCTACGGTAAGTGTTGCGTAGATAAGAAGCACAGGAGGCTGAGATAGGCTTCCTGAAGGAGGTGACATCTATAGCTGTGTGTACCAAGAATGATGTAGAAATGTGAGAGAGCATGGACAAACTCGGGAAAATATAAATATAAATGACTGGAACATACGGTGCTAAGTGAACTGTGAGAAATGAAGTTGTAGGTGGGAGAAATAAGCAGGACGCAGGTTATAAAGAGTGTTGTGTACAATTCTAAAGAGTATGGTTTTTCTCCCTGAAGGTTATTGTATCCATATCTTATGCTGCTTAATAAACCAATCTAAAACTTATTGGATTAAAAGAACAACTATTTATTTAGCTTATGATTCTGATGATTCTGTGGTTTGGCAATTTGGACCGGGCTCAGCTGGGAGGTACCTTGCTCCTGGCTGAAATCATTCATGCATATGCAGTCAGGTACCAGTAGCTCAGTTTCCAGGGAAGAGGATGTCAGCTGGAATGACATGGCAGTTTGGTCACATTTCTTTCATAATTCATCAGGCTAGCCTGAGCTCGTTTAGATGGAGACCTGTAGGCTTCCATGAGTGAGAGTGGAAACGAGCGAAGCCTCTCAAAATCTTAGGTTGGAACTAACAAGAGTTGCTTCTGAATATTCTATTGACCAAAGGAAGTCTTAAAGCCCACCCAGATTCAAGTGGTGGAGAAATAGACCCCACTAGTTTATTGGAAAAGCTGAGAAGTCATATTGCAAAGGGGTGTGGACACACAGAGAGTGGAAAATTGTGGCCACTTTTGTGATGTGTCACAGTCATGGAGAGCCATGGAAGGATTTTAAGCAGGGAAGTGATATAATTAAATTTGACTAATAGAAAAATGCTTTTGGCAGAGGTGTGTAAAATGGATATATGAGGACAAAATTGGAAGCAAAGAGAGAAGTTAGAAAGCCAGTTCATTATCCAGTTGGGAGATAATGAGAACGTGATCTAAGGCTAGTGGTAGTGAAGAAAGAGAAGAGGCGGTAGCTTTGAATGATAGTGAGGCGGTAGAATCAAGGAGATAAAGGCTTGATGAATATTTAAATCTGAGGAATAAGGGATCAAGACAAGTAAAGTGTGGCTCCAATATTCTGACTTGGTGCTCAGAAATCATGCAGTTAATCAGAGGGAGATAAGATAGAATGAATAACAGGTTTGGAATGGAAGATGGTGATTTAAGTTTTGGGCATGCTGAGTTGTATATGACTCTGGGAACCTCAAATGGACATATCTGATCTGGATCTTAGGAGAGAGGTCTGAGTTTTGGAAGTCATTTACATATGGGTAGCAGTTGAAACCATGGGGGCATATGATATCGCTCAGGAAGAGGATTTAGTGTGAGAAAGAAGGATAAAGATGGAGCTATGGGGAATGTTACATTTTAAAAGAGATGGATAGAGAAAGAGCAGCTTATCAAGGAGTATAAGAATCAATAGCAAGAAAGGCAGGGGCAAAAACAGAAATGAGTAGTGTCCCAAGAGTTAAAGGGGAAGAGAACTAGGGTCAAGTATTGCAGGAGGTCAAGGAGGAAGAAAGCTAAGAAGTGGCCTAGGACGTTACTGATGACCCATTGCAAGAGTGGCTTTAGTGGAGTAGTGGAAGCAGAAGCTAGTATGTGGTAAGGAGGTAAGGAAGAAAGAAAGAGAGAAAATTCACTTTCCAGAGGGAGAGATAGGTTAGTTTTAAGTTGTGAGAGACTTGAGCATGTTGGTGTGCTAAGGAATAAGAGCCAGTTGGGATGGATAAAGGAAAGGAGTTGAAGAGAATAATTCTCTCCCCTCCTGATCAATATTGGATTTTTTTTTTGATTCCTCACTCTACAGGTAACTTAGAACTCCTCAGAATTAGCTGATTTTTCCCCCAAAGATCCATGCTGTGTACATCCTCAGATAGAAATGTTTAACCATTTTCTCTCCATTCCTCCTCCTCCAAGGCTTAGCTTTTGCAGGCATCATACATTTAGTATTGAAGGAGAATATAGATAAACCCCTTTAGACCCATTATAATGGAACTGTTATGTCCTCTTTCAGCTACTGATCTTCAGCTATTCCTGAAGAAATCTATGGTTTCAAAATCAGTAGGATTAGGATTACATTAAATGTGGGGTGATGGGAAAGTTTTTCCACAGTCAGGATCCTTCTACTCAAGTAATTGGGCATTTGTAGATTTTGTTCCTATAAAGAATGCAAGGGAGTAATGATAAAGAGCAAAGTTATAACACTACCAGGAAAATGAATGGTCTTATTCTCTTTTTCAGTTTATTTTCAAAAATATTCTCAGAGTCTTATGGAAGAACATGCTCAGAATACAACAAAAGAAATCAGGTACACAACATTGGAATGTATGAAAGAGAATTTTACCAGAAAAGGTAAAAATTAATGTGCCTGTAATTCACTTGTTGACTATACTGGGTTAGGATCCCAAATCAATATTTCCAATAATATTCACAGGTAGATCATGCTAAGAAGTTGAGTCTCATGATCATTTTAAGCTTTAAGTGTACAACTATATAGAACTTAAAGTTCTTATATACGTATCTTTATCTGTGTAAGGGGAGTCTTAATTGTGAAAAAAGGTTATGTTGCTTTTGGATTTCTTTAGTCTTCACTTCTTCCTGAACTTTCTGTGCACACTTGCTCTTTTTCTCACATATCAGTTAAAATGCACTCTCTCAAGAGAGATCTAATCCATTTGTGTTTTAAGGAAACGTATATTGTGTTTGCATAAAATGTGTCTGGGAGAATACATAAAATACTCTTACAGGGTTTTAGCTATGGAGACTAGGCTTGAAGATGTTGGAAGAGAAAGAAAATTTTAGTCTTGTTTGATGAAGAAGAAGATGATGATATGCAGATGATGATGATGTTAATATAGATGTGAATTATTTAAATAAAAAAATAGACTATTTTTAAAGAGCAGTTTTATATTGACAGCAAAATTGAGCAGATAATACAGAGATTTACCATATCACTTCCCTCCCCTGTGCATACAATTTCCCCAATTATTAACATCTTACATTAGTATGATACATTTATTACAACTAATAAACCAATATTGATATACTATAATTAATTAAAGCTCATAGTTTATTCAGATTTCCTTGGTTTTTACCTAATGTTATTTTTCTGTTCTAGGATCCCATCCAGAATACTGCATTACATTTAGTTTTCATGTCTCTTTAGGCTCCTTGGCTGTGATAGTTTCTCAGATATTCCTTGTTTTTGATGACTTTGACAGTTTTGAGGAATATTGGACAGGTATATCATAGGATGTTCCTCCATTGGAATTTGTCTGATGTTTTTCTAATGACTAGACTGGGGTTACTGGTTTTTGAGAGGAAGATCATAGACAAAGTACCATTTTCATCACATCATAGCAACATAAAATTTGACGGTTGATGCTGACTTTGATCACCTGGCTGAGGTAGTGTTTGTCAGATTTCTCCACTGTAAAGTGATTCTTTTTTCCTCCTTTCCATACTGTACCTTTAGAGGGAAATTGCTTTGTACAGCCCACAAGTAAGGATTGGAGAATTATGCTCCCTTTCCTTCAGGGTGGAGTATTGTATTAGTCTTCTTGGGCTGCCATAACAAAATATCAAACTGGGTGGCTTAAACAACAGACAGTTATTTTCTCACAGTTATAGAGGCTGGGAGTTTAACATCAAGGTGCCAGCAGGGTTGATTTCTGTTGACGCATCTAGGCATCTCTCTCTGGCTTACAGATGGCCACATTTTTGCTGTGTCCTCATATGGCGTTTCCTCTGCACATGCAGAGAGATAGAGAGAGAAAGGGGAATCCGATGTCTCTTCTTCTGCTTATAAGGACACCAGTTCTATTGGATTGGGGCTCCACCCTTATGACCTCATTTAATCTTAATTACCTCCTTAAAGTCCCTATCTACAAATAAAGTCACATTAGGGGTTAGGGCTTCAACATATGAATTTGGGGGGAACACAATTCAGTCCGTAACATTCCATCCCCTGACGCCCCAAAATTCATATTGTTCTTGCATGCAAAATACATTCACCCTGTTGCAATAGCCCGTAAAGTTTTAACCCATTCCAATATCAATTCCACTTCCAATTCCAATATCAAAGTCTCATCTGAATATCATCTAAATCAGATATGGGTGAGACTCAAAGTATAATTCATCCTGAGGCAAAATTTCTCTCCATCTGTGAACCTATAGAACCAGATGAGTTATATGCTTCCAAAATGCAATGGTCAGACAGGCAAAGGATAGACATTCCCATTCCCAAAGGGAGAAATCAGAAAGAGGAAAGGGATGATATATTCCAAGAAAGTCCAAAATCTAGTAAGGCAAATTTCATTGGATATTAAGGTTTGAGAATAATCTTTGGCTTGATGTTCTGGCCTCTGGGCCCACTAGAGTGGCATTGTCACCCTCATGGTTCTACAGAGTGACTCTATCTCATGGCTCTGTGGGATAGCCTTGCCCCTGTGGGACCAGGCAGTGGCATCCTTGCCCACTGAAACTGAGGAGGTTGCCCCACCCTTGTAAACCAAGGAGGAAACAGCCTTACCCCCTTTGCCTGTGGTGGGAGTGGCAGCCCTGATGATCTCTGAATTGCCTTCAAGTCAGTGTTTCCTTTTCTTGAAAGATAATGCATGTTTGAAGCCTATAGCTCTATTGTCCCATGCTGTAGAATAACAATAACATGCTGTAGAATGTCCAATAACTTTCCTTCATTCTGTCCCATTTTCTCTGTCTCCTTTAGTCCCAGCTGACAGTATTTCTGCTGGTATAATCCTATTTTAATTCCTGACTTCAGCCGAGGTGGCTGATTAAATCCATGGGTAATCTCTTTCTGGAGTGATCGTCCAGCCACATCCTTGGTGTTCTCTCCAGAATATGTTTTCTTATTTTTTACAATATGAATAGGCTGAGAATTTTCCAGATCTGCAAGTTCTGGTTCCTTTTTGCTTAAAACTTGCTTCAATTTATCTCTTTTCTCTTGCATTTTACTATAAACAATAAGGAGAAATCAGGCCACAGCTTTAACACTTTGCTTAGAAATCTCCTCTGCTAAATATCCAAGGTTGTCACTTACAAGTTCTCCCTTCCACAAAACAAGAGAACACAATTCAGCACTTTTTTTTTTTTTACCATTTTATTGCCAGAATTGCCTTTCCTCCAATTTCCAATAGCATGTTCCTCATTTCCGCCTGAGACCTCACCAGAAGCATCTTAATGTTCGTATTTCTACCAACATTCTATTCATTATAATATATGTATCCTCTAAGATGATAGAACCTTTATCTACACCTCTCTTTTCTTTCTGAGTCCTCACCAGAATCACCTTTAACATCCATATTTCTACCAATAGCCCTTTCAAGGCAATTTAGCCTTTTTCTAGCATGTACCTCAAAACTCTTCTAGTCTCTCCCCATCACCCAATTCCAAAGCCACTTGCACTTGTTACAGTAGCACCCTACTTTGGTACCAAAATCTGTGTTTGTCTGCTTGGGCTGCCATAATAAAATATCACAGACTGGGTAGCATAAACAACAGAAATTTATTTTCTTATAGTTATGGAGGCTAGAAGTCCAAGCTACCATAAGAGTTTTTTTCTGGTGAGGCCTCTCTTCCTGGCTTATAGACAACCACCTTCTTACTGTATCCTCACATAGCCTATTCTCTGTGTGCATGGGAGGAGAGAGAGAGATTTCTGGTGTCTCTTCTTTTTCTTATAAGGAAAAATTCCTATGGGATTAAGGCCCTACCTTTATGACCTCATTTATCCTTAATTACCTCCTTAAAGGCTCTACCTCCAAATATAGTCATATTGAGGGTATAGCTTCAACATATGAATTTTTGGGGAACACAATTCATTCCATAACAAGTATCTATATAATTTATTTGGAATCCTTGTGCATGTGAGATTTGTCTCTTCTACCCTATTTATCAATTTCTTCAATCATTTATTTATATTTGTATGTACTCATGGATATTTATTTTAAACTTTGAGTTATAATCCAGTACTATATTTATTTTGTTGCTCAAGTTGTTCTACCTTTACCATTGGGAGCTCTTTCTGTTGGCTCCTGTGCCCCTTTGACATACCTCCATCAAAGTGTTGTTTTGTTTTGTTTTTGAGCACTTCCCTACTTCTGGGACTACAATATGATCTGGGCTTGTATTGTATGTTTCCTGTGTCAGTCTTAGAATCAGCTATTTCTCTGTGGAGCTCTGGCTCCTGTTACTGAAGAATGGTATCAGGAACCAAGATCTGGACACTAGGTATGCTCATTACTACTGGAGTGTCATTTCTTTTAGGCCCTCTCAGCTGACAGAGCAAAGAAATATATATGTGTGTACTAATCTGTGTGTGTACATAGATTAATAAATATTTCTACATGTAACTGTCTGTATCTATAATAAGTAAAACATCAGTTTTTACTGATGTCTTCAACTGTAATCCATTACCACATGCATCATTCTAGCCTCCTTCCCCTGATATCTTTAAATGACCACTCCAACAGAGAGAAATCTTGTTCACACCATCTGCTTAGTATATTTAGTTAATTATTCAATTCCAATTAAACAGAGCAATATCAGAATTGTAAACTCATACCACTATGGGAAACAACTTTATTAACTGGAATACAGTGCTCATGTGCAATTTCTTTTGTAACTTTCTTTCTTTTGTAACTTCTTTTGTAAGTTCTTTTGTAATTTTATTTTGTACTCTTATAGACTCTATTTCCAAAGTTACTTGGGTCATCACCTTACTCCCACGCTCTTCATTGTGGTTGTTTACTACATTTGTAGTACAGTTAGATTCTCTTGTCACAGTCTTCATTCTTTCGTGGGATCTCCTGATTTCCTAAATGAATTTTTAAAATATTCATACAATAAATGTAATGTTCCGTAATGTTCTATGAATTTTGACAAATGGGTAATGTCATGTATCCATTATTACAGTATAATACAGAATAGTTTCACTGCCCTAAAAATGTCCTGTGCTCCACGTTCCTCTCCAAACTCTTGGTAACCACTGAAATTTTTACTGTCTCTGTAGTTTTGCCTTTTCCAGAATGGCTTATCATTGTAATCATACAGTTGGTAGTCTTTGTTAAAAAATTTTTTTTATTGATGTCATTATCGTTTATAACATTGTGAAATTTTAGTTGTACATTATTGTTTGTCAGTCACCGTATAAATGTGTCCCTTCACCCCTTGTGCCCACCACCCAACTCCCTTCCCCCTGGTAACCACCAAACTGTTCTCTCTGTCCGTGTGTTAGTTTATCTTCCACATATGAGTGAAATCATATGGTGTTTATCTTTCTTCATCTGGCTTATTTTGCTTAACATACTACTCTCCAGGTCCATCCATGTTGT